TGTCGTGAGCTATTGCTTAAATATATACACATATATAATAAAAAAATAATAATCCAGAATCAAATGCTCTTGATTCTAATGAGGCAATTTTCATGGCATTTTACAAGAAAAAAATATAATAAATTGTGATTATTCTTACTATTCCAATGTCAGATTTAACATCTTCCACACGTGTTTGACATTTAATAAGCTCTCCATTTGCTTGCATGATCTTCAGGTTAAAGAGCTTTGTACAAACCATGTCTTTTGACATAAAAATATAATTGCACACACACCTTGTTTTGTTTTTAATAGTCTGTAACCTTTACTCTAGCAGAGTCTAAGAATAAATGTACAAAGCAGAATCATCAGCTTGTTCGATCTATGGACGTCTTTATATTATTGGATGCAATGAACATCTGAGCCTCAGGAGATAGGTTGCTCTCTGCCTTTTGGGGTTTGGCGCTCATATGCAGTTCATTTCCACAATACGGTTTTTATTACTGTCTCTGAATGACTGGAAGTAATCTAAAGGACCATGTTCACAGCTGTGCAGTACTCACACTTTAATTGAATTAATCCACATTCAATTTCAATTAAAGAACAGAGGAGCAAACACAATGGCATCTCAACCTCAGTTTGTTTATGTCCTGATTACATCATTAAGTCTCTATACAAATCGCATTTATTATTGATTTCAGGTAGAGGTAAACATAAATGAACACTGGCTCATTGGCAGCCTGATGATCACATCACAGCGAACACCCATAAATAGACGCACACACACACATGCACACCAGGTGCGTCGTGATCATAAGTGGTCTCGGCGGAGACGACGTAATGGCACAAAGTGTCAGGGGAGCAGGTGTTCATAGCTCTCAGAGAATTAAGAGAGCCTGAGATGTAGAACCCTCTTTGCTTTCCTTCTGCAGCCTTAATAATACATGTCTCCTCAATATCTTTGTTGTTTGTTTTATTTTTTGACTTCTTTCCTCTTCATTCTCCTATCCTATGTTGTGATTTCCACCCTCTGTCTGTGTCATTGTTACTCCTTACTTTCGTCTCTTAATCTCACAAAATCCTGTTTGCTAACTGCTTTATTTTTTTACCAACAGCAATATTCAGACATACACATGGATAATAAGGACGGTGTGTGTATAACTAGCCTGGAAAGCCGTTTAATCATTTATTTTATTTACAACACACACAGTACACGCCGTGTCCAGCTCAGATCTTCCCGACATACACTTTACAATCCTAGCTCGATTTGTTAAGATCACAAAGCCCCTGCGTCAGCCAGTGTTGTAGTCAAGTACCAATTCACGAGTCCAAGTCACTCTCCAGTCCCCACTTTTTGAATCCAAGTCCGAGTCACCTAGGGAGAGTCGGAGTCAAGTCCAAGTCGCAGTCACCTAGGGAGAGTCGGAGTCGAGTCCAAGTCCAAGTC